TGCAGAGCCTGCTTGGGATTCTCTCTCTTGGCCCCTTACCCTGCTCACTCTCTCTCTCTCTCAAAATAAATAAATAAACTTTTTTTTTTTATTAAAGATATATCTACCCTATGACCCAGAAATAGCACTGCTAGGAATTTACCCAAGGGATACAGGAGTGCTCATGCATAGAGGCACTTGTACCCCAATGTTTATGGCAGCACTTTCAACAATAGCCAAATTATGGAAAGAACCTAAATGTCCATCAACTGACAAATGGATAAAGATGTGGTTTATATATACAATGGAATACTACTTGACAATGAGAAAGAATGAAATATGGCCTTTTGTAGCAATGTGGATGGAACTGGAGAGTGTTATGCTAAGTGAAATAAGTCATACAGAGAAAGACAGATACCATATGTTTTCACTTATATGTGGATCCTGAGAAACTTAACAGAGGACCAGAGAGGAGGGGAAGGGGGGGGAAGTTACAGAGAGGGAAGGAGGGAAACCATAAGAGACTCTTAAATACTGAGAACAAACTGAGGGTTGATGGGGGTGGGGGGGAGGGGAAAGTGCGTGATGGGCATTGAGGAGGGCCCCTGTTGGGATGAGCACTGGCTGTTTTATGGAAAGCAGCTTGACAATAAAATATATTTAATATTAAATAAATAAATAAATAAATAAACTTTTTAGAAAAGGAATGAGGGGCACCTGGTGGCTCAGTTGGTTGAGCATCTGACTCTTGATTTCAGCTCAAGTCATAACCTCAGGATTGTGGGATTCAGCTCCAATAAAGGCTCTGCGCTGAGTGCAGAGCCTGCTTAAGATTCTCTCTCTCTCTCTCTTCCTCTGCCCCTCTGCCACACTCACATTCTTTTCCTCTAAAATAAATTTACAAAGCAAGCAAAAAAACTCCCAAAAAACAATGAGATGAGAGAGGCACCTGGGTGGCTCAGTCAGTTAAGCATCCAACTTCAGCTCAGGTCATGATCTCATGGTTTGTGGATTCGAGCCCCGCATCAGGCTCTGCGCTGACAGCACAGAGACTGCTTGGAATTCTCTCTCTCTTCGTCTCTCTCTGTCCCTCCCCTACTCGTGCTTTCTTTGTCTCTCAAAATAGATAAATAAACTTTAAAAAAATGAAATCAGAAAATGGAGCCTCAGAGAAGTTAATTAACTTACCCAACGTCATACGCTATTGACAAAATCAGAATCAGTCCAGGCTTCTAGCCCCATATGACTGACTGAACACTTTGTTTTCATCCTCCTACAAAGTAAAGGAGAATCATCCTCAGTGTTGGTTAGGATTGGGATGGGAAAGGACTCCGAGGATCTAGACATGTAGCCTTATGTGTATCACACCGACCAGTTGATCATGGGGTCCTTGGAAGTAAGAACAAAAAATGGATTAATACCACTAACTTCCGTATTGCATCTGGTGTCAGTTCCGAGGCTCTAAACACCACCTATGCATGGATAGCTCCCAACTTCACACTTCCAGCTCTGACTCTCCCTCCTGAACCCCACACTCATGTAGACAAACTTCCTAGTTGGCATTGCCCTCTGGATGTCTAACAAGCGTCCTTGTGATGTACTAACCTGAACTACTGGTCCTGCCCCAGGTGCTACTTTTCCAGTCTTAAGAGATTTCGGTTGCTCCGACCACAAACCAGAGTGATCATTTTTAACTTCTCTTTGTTCCCAACCTATCAGGAAGTGTGTCGGTTCTACCTTCAAAATAGAATCCAGAAACTACTTCTCACCACCTTCCTTGCTTCCAACCTACTCCAAACCACCGCCATCTCCCCTGGATCCCTCCTAACTCCTTGCTTGCTGCCTTCTTCCTCTCCCTTCCCCACAGTCCGATGTCAGCACAAGAGCCAATGTCCCTGTAAAATGTGACTCATTTCATGGTCCTCCTCTCTTAAAAGTGCTGACTTCCCCCAGAAAATAAGGGTCCACCTCATTTTTCTCTTCTTTCCAACTCAGTCATTTCACTGCCCGGACACAATGAATCTCCTCGCCATTGCTTGAACATCCAAGGACATTCTCAACTCATCACTGTTCCCTTTGCCCAGAATTCCCTTCCTCCACACGGCCCTTCCCTTCATCTTCCCAGCGACGCCTCCTGGGACCATCTCCTTCAATATTGCTACGTCTTTCCCTCAGGCACCCCAATTCCCCTGGCCCTCCTCTACTTTTTCTTATGTAGCACATTTTAATATATTATAAAATGTCCTCATTATTGTTTATTTTCTGCCTTCTCTCTCTTGAGTCCTAAGGTAGTTTTATTCCAACATGTAATCTCAGCACAATGTCTAGAACATAGTAATTGCTCAGTAATTATTTGTCGGATGATCAATCTTTCAGAATCTAACCAAAGAACCATCTGACCCTGAATGCACTCAAGGGTTCTCATTTTATTGCTTTGTTGTGGGGTGGAGAATGTAGCCATTTTCGGTTTTTATATCAGTGTTAAAAGATCTTGAGAATATGTTCTGACTATCCTTAACTTCTCTTCCGCAACCCATTGTGAAGCAACCGTCTATCAAAACCCTACTAGATCCTATTTGTTTTCAGGATCTACAGTATTGGGCCACGTGGGTGGCTCATTCAGTTGGGTGTCTGACTTTGGCTCAGGTCATAATCTTTCCGTCCGTGATTTAGAGCCCCGCATTGGGCTCTGTGTTGACACCTCAGAGCCTGGACCCTGCTTGGAATTCTCTCTCCCTCTCTCTCTGCCTCTCCCCCACCCACAGTCTCTCTCTCTCTCTCTCTCTCTTTCTCTCTTTCTCTCATTCTCTCTCTTTCTCTCTCTCTCTCTCAAAAATAAATAAACATTAAAATTTTTTTAAAAAGATCTACAGTATTATTCTCAAGTTAATGAATGTCCTATATTACTTTCTGATTATGGTATATTTGTTCATATCAGTTAATATTGTCACAAAATGACTTCTTATCTCCAAGTCCTATGATTCCACACTTCATTGGTTGACTCTGTTGACTCCAACCAGCTAACCCTCAGGCTTGCATGGACTTTGAGCTCATCTATTCTCTTTCCAAACTAAAGAGTCTCCCTCTCTGTTTATCCTGATAGAAAACTACCTCTGCTATTTTAATTCTTTACTTACTCCCATCTACATCTTTTCAAATTCATATGCCTTGAAGAGTTTCTGGTGCATAATGTTTTATGTGTGGCCAATATTCTCCTCGCTGCCTGTTTCCTAGTGGTGTATGTTCATGTTTTTGCTTTATTTTCCACTGAGCATGGATTCTTCCTCCAGGGCCCATGGAGGTCCAAGGGGGGGACATCAGGGAGTGTATTAGAGTGGGCTAAACTGATGTAATAAGTAAACGTAAAATGTAATGGTCCAACACAATGGTTTGTCTTTTGCTCACGTAACAATCTAGAGTAATTCCAGATTGGTAGAGGAGCTCTGTTCCACATAAAGGACTGAGTGTGGACTGAATGGGCCAACTGTGGCTCTGCCATCTTGGGTCCTCCTGGGCATGACCAACAACTCAGTGAAGGGCTCGGGGAAAGAGCATGGAGGTGCCTTTAGGGGAGGTCCCATGAGCCAGGCCTGGCAGGAACACATGTATCACCACCACTCAAATTTCACTGGCTACGGGTCTTAGTTACATGCCACCGACACTGCGGGGAGGCTGGGAAATGTAGTCTAGCTGGGCAACCAGGAAGAAGGGGAGAATAGATTTTGGTGCTCAGCTAGCGTTTTCTGCCACAAGGGGTCTGACAAATGGGCACATACACAAAATGTGTTTTTTCATTTCATTTATTTTGTGTCCTTTTGAAACTTATAAAGAAAAAAATTGCTTTATCAGTTCAAATTATAAGCTTATGTGAAGCTCCCTTTGGGCTTCACCAGGAAGCATGAGGTCATACCATTGGCTCAGCCGAGTCATGTGACTATAGAGACTGGGGGTCTGTTAGCGAGGAAAGATGCTCACCATCAGGCAAGGAACAGGCATCACCATTGCACTGTGTTATGACATCTGAATTAACTTAATTGAGAAAACGTAATGTGAGGGACACACTTGGTACTCCGCCCAAATGTCCTGTGGCCTCACCAGTTAGTGCAGCCAGTGTCCAACAGCCAGCACCTGCACGTCCTTTGCAGACTGCCTCTTCTGACCACTGAAGGCTGCCCTCCTCAGTACAGTGGCCTGGAAGCTCTGGGGGACCTGGTCCCAGAAGTCTCTGATCCCTAGCACCTTAGGACAACGCACATTTTATGCGGGCTCCCAGGCTTCCTCCATGTGATGAAGCTCCAGTCATCCTTCCTTGATAAAACAGCCTTCATTGGCCATCTTTCTTTCCCTGTCTCACTTCTCTGCTCTCTTGCCCATGTCTCTTGGGATCACCAAATATATTGCTTGAATTCTCTGGGGCTTTTTGGTGGTGGTGGAGGGGGGGGGAACCCCAACTAGGACGCTTATCCTGCCGTGACTCTGATGCATACTGGTCAGTGTTTGTGCTTAGCACAGGTTATGTTGGAAACTGTCAAAGCAAAACAAAGAACCTCTTGGAAACTTCTTTAGACACTCTATGATTGCGTCACACTGGGAGATAAGGTGAGAAGAGGCAGGATCAGTGTTTCTGCCCTGCAAGGGCTCTGGAAAGGAAACAAAAGTAACAATCTTGCACTGCTCAGCCTCAGCAAGTAGAACATTTTCCCCCTGGTGTTACTAAATTTACCACATTTAGCAATATAAAGTAGTTGACCCAATATGAATAGGCTCATGTTTCTCCGACTAGACTTTAGGATTAAATAAGCCAGTAAGAAACAACCCCCATGTAGGATAAAAGACCTTGGCACAGATGAAGCCCAGTTAGCTAAGGGACTATGGTGGGCAAAACAGTTTGTTCTCTTCCTCCTGAGCCCACCCCACAAGGACCAATTATATTGATGACACAGCAGCACAGGGCTCTTTAAAAAAGGCACTAAGCCTATTTGTGAGCTGAGGTGACAAAGAAGGACTCTCAAAAACAGGAATGAAGTGCTCGTGGCTTTCATTTTCCTTGAGTCATCCCATGGGATGGGACACAGGCCACCCCATCGCACATGGGACGACATTATTGCCGAGAAGAACACACAGGCAAGGGCAGAGCGAGGGAGCTCCCATGTCTCACCGTCTTGGACAAGCTGCAGAAAGGGTGGATCTTCCTCCTGAAAAGAACTCAGGCTGGAGTCTGCTTCCATCCTCAAGCCTCACGTAGAGCAACCTCCAGGCTCGCACATCCCAGTGCCAAACGGGAGAGATGACACCCAACTTGAGGAAACTTGACGAGGTCCTTGTTTCCTCCTTCCCCCTCCATTTCCGAAGTTTGCTGGATGGAACACATTTTATGGATTCTTTTCCTCCCCACCTCAGTGGGTTGAAGGCCTCACCACCTGTTTCTGTTTCTTTCCTATTTACCCTTAAAATTTTAACAAATTTGTGTTTTCTTATCGAAACAAGACACCAATCTTCCTTGAGGATGTACTCTAGGAAAACAAACAAACATAGATGCAAATAAAGAGGCTAAAAGATGACACACAAGACAATAATGATAAAATAGACTTTGTGCCTGGAGCATCTCGTAAGGCTAGAAAATAAGAAGTGTTCAAAAACAAAACAAAACAAAAACCACAGTAATGCGCTACGTCAACACAACCCGGAGGTCATCTAAAGGAATTCCCAGTAGAATTCCTTTCAGGATATTCAGGTCAAAGCTGAAACAGTTTGACCAAAAAATAAGGTGGTATTGAGTACTTTGGATTATAACCCAAAGTGAAAAATAAATATCCATAAATACACAGTGACATAAATAAATGATTGAATAAATAAATATATGGGGAGGAAGAGACAAATCTCTCGCACAGAGGAATTCCAATTTAAGTATGTAGATCTCCATTCTCAACGGGTTGAAACATAACTCCCCACTCTGGAAGTGTGGGCTAAATATAGTGACTTCCTTCCAGAGAGTTCAGTAGAGAAGGGGAAAAAAGAGTCACTCTACAGTGGGGAAACCTGGTAAACACCACCTCTGGCAGGTGATCAAGGCTTACATCACCAGTGAGTGATAAGTCATGTTGATGGCATGTACCCTTCATATGAAGCCATGAAAAGGGCACTCCGCCTCTGTGGGCTTCCTCCCCCAACCCATAGCCCCAGTCGAATCATGAGAAATATATCAGACAAATTCAAGTGAGTCACATTCTAAAAATACCTAACCAGTATTCTTCAAAACTGTCAAGGTCGGGGTGCCTGGGTGGCTTAGTCCGTTAAGCGGCTGACTCTTGGTTTCGGCCCAGGTCATGATCTCACAGGTCATGAGTTCAGGGCCCCGCATCAGGCTCCATCCTGTGGGTACGGAGCCTGCTTAGGATTCTCTCTCTCTGCCTCTATACTGTTCACACTCTATCTCTCTCTCTCTTTCTCAAGAAAAAATAAACATTAAAAAAAAGTAAAACTTGTTTAAAAAAAAACTGTCAAGGTCATCAAAAACAAGGAAAATCGGAGAAATCACCATAGCCAAGAGAAGCATAAGGAGACACAACAATTAAATGTAACATGGTATCCTGGATGATATCCTGGACATTTGATAAAAACCAAGGAAATCTGATTAAAACATGGACCTTAGTTATGTATTAATATCTGTGACAAACATGCCATAAAGGGTTTTTAAAGAGAAAATTCAGGGGCACCTGGGTGGCTCATTTGGTTAAGCATCCAACTTCAGCTCAGGTCACCATTCCATGGCTCATGAGTTCAAGCCCCCACATTGAGCTCTGTGCTGACAGCTCAGAGCCTGAAGCCTGCTTCACATTCTGTGTCTCCCTCTCTCTGCCCCTCCCCCGCTCATTTTCTCTCTCTCTCTCTCTCTCTCTCTCTCTCAAAAAAAAAAAAAAAAAACTTTAAGAGAAAATTCAGCATGGGGCATGAGAAGCATTTATGCCATCTTCATAATTTTTCTATGACTCTAAAACTATTCTAAAATAAGTTTATTTACAAAATAATGGTAAACATTGAAACTGGTGTAATTTGAAGTCAGGATAACATTTAATAATATGATGGGAATGTTTAATGCACCGGTTATGAAGAAATTATTTAAATGTATATACAATTAATACCTTGAAATTAAAGTACAGTTGCCACAAAATCTCGAATGCTATTGGAGCGGGAAGAAATTGGAGAAAGAAGTCTAGAGGTGATGCGGGTTTGGGCAAAATGGGTGAAGGGGAAGGGGAGGCAGGCACAGGCTTCCAGTTATGGAACGAACAAATAAATCGTGGGGTGAAAGATGCATCACAGGGAATAGAGTCAATGGTACTATAATAGTGTCGTAATGTGACAGACACTTGAGCTAAACACAGCATAAAGTATGGAAAAGTTGAATCTTTATGCTGCACACCTGAAACTGATGTAACATTGTAGGTCAACTATAGTTCAGTAAAAGAGAAAATACATTTTTAAAAAAACTTAGAAAGAAGGTAAGTCTGGGACACCGGGGTGGCTCAGCTGGTTGAGCATCCGACTTCAGCTCAGGTCACGATCTCACGGTTTGTGAGTTCGAGCCCCACATTGGCTTCACGGCTGTCAGCCCAGAGCCTGCTTCAGATCCTCTGTCCCTTCCCTACTCGCACTCTCTCTCTCTCTCTCAAAAATAAATTTAAAAAATAAATAAAAAAGAATCAGCAAGGCTATACGGGCCAACTGAAGAATGCTTAAAAAAAAAAAAAAAAGAAGAAGAAGATAGGGTTCTCCGGGTGGCTCAGTTGGTTAAGCGTCCAACTCTTGGTTTCTGCTCAGGTCATGATCTCACGGTTTTGTGAGCTTGAGCCCCGCGTTCGGGCTCTGTGCTGACAGCCCAGGGCCTGCTTGGGATTCTCTCACTCTCCTCTCTCTGTCCCTCCCCCGCTCATGCCCTCTATGTCTCTCTCAAAATAAATAAATAAATAAATAAATAAATAAATAAATAAACTTTAGGAAAAAAGGGTAAGTCTGAAGGTTTTGTCCTGGGTAATGTATGATTTTGATGGAAAAATAGACATTTTTTTTTTTTTTTTTGTAGATGCTGGGGGTTATTGCTAGAGAAATCGGAGTAAGGCAGCACATCCAAATTGATAGAGGGCAGCAATGATAAAACATAATAAAGCCAAATATAAAACATGACAGGAATAAGGCCAATATGTAATCAGTGGTCATAGGAGATGCCAAAGAGTTTAATCCTCCTTCGGAAAGAGAAAACTCTCAGACTGGGTAAAGAAAGAAAAGCCCAGCCTACAAAATAATAGGAAAGGCGAAACTACGATAATAGAAGGCGCGATGAATTAAGAAAAGAAAACACACACAGAAAGCGTGGGTGATACTACTCACACGGCAGCAGCGTCCTCGCCTGCTTACACTTGGCTTCCTCAGTCCGCTCACACCCAGCCTGAGTCCACACCAGGCCTGCCTGCCTGGAGTTCCACCCTTTTCCCCGCTAAATCTGAGGGTTTACATTTTCCCCAAATCCACCCCATTATTCTTGTCACCCCTTGTGCTGGGCCTGCAAATGACTCACTCAGGCTTCTGGCCTCTGCGGATCTCTGCCGTGGAGGCCACTTGGAGGCCCCCTGATGTCGCCTGAAGCACAGCTAATGCAGGTCTGTCATGTTTCATTAGAGTTCACTAAGACCCGGGGATAGTGATTACATGTCAGCCAAGTTCACCAGATGGATAGACGTGCTGTTGTGATATGTCATTTATCCCCAGATTAATCCATGGATTTCATATAATACCAATCAAATGCCAAATCATTTTTTTTAAGGAAATGACAATGTACCCTACAGTGCATATGGAAGGATAAATACATAACAATATCCAAGATAATTGAAAAAAATATCCTGGGGTACTAATTCGGACCAGAAAGCAAAATATGGAGGGATAATAACTAGAGAGTTGTTTCTGTCATAGGAATAGACAAACACAGGAATTGCACAAAACTGAGAGTTGAAAAACAGGATAATGTATCTATGAAAATTTAGTTTTTTCACTAGCAGGCATGGTTTTCCCCTTGTTTTATTTTATTTTATTTTATTTTATTTATTTTATTTTATTTTTTAATTTACTTTGATTGAACACAAGCGGGGGAGGGGCAGAGAGTGAGGGGAACAGAGGATCCGAAGCAGGCTCTGTGCTGACAGCAGAGAGCCCAAGCGGGGCTCAAACTCACAAACTGCGAGATCATGACCTGAGCCAAAGTCGGCTGCTCAAACGACTGAGCCCCCCAGACATCCCTCCCTTTGTTTTAATAGTCAAAATTCTTTGGGGTCCTGGATAATTAAATAAACACTGTGTTACTGGAAGAAAACTGTAAACAGTTTTACTAGTCACATAGTGCCCATTGTGACATGGGTTTCAGGTAAAATCCTGGGATAATTCAGAGGAAACACTTTTCAAAAGTGTTTCTAAGTGTTCCATTTTTCCCTAATTTCTTCTTCCTCTTTTTATTATTTTTTTGAGAGATTTTATTTTTAGGTCATCTCTACACCCAAGGTGGAGCTTGAACTCATGACCCCAAGATCGAAAGTCACATATTCCACCAGCTAAGCCCACCATGCACTCCTCTTCTTCCTCTTTTTAAAGAAATGATCCTAGGGGCGCCTGGGTGGCTCAGTCGGTTGAGCGTCCGACTTCGGCTCAGGTCATGATCTCGCGGTCTGTGAGTTCGAGCCCCGCGTCGGGCTCTGTGCTGACAGCTCAGAGACTGGAGCCTGCTTCGGATTCTGTGTCTCCCTCTCTCTCTGCCCCTCTCCTGCTCATGCTCTGTCTCTCTCTGTCTCAAAAATAAAATAAAAAGGTTAAAAAAATAAAAAACAAGAAAGAAAGAAATGATCCTGAAAATATATCTATAGACTCCTTACCTTGTCCTCTGATATTCCAAGATTAACAGCCGTCACCCACACGTTCGGCAGTTTTTTTAAAAAAACTGTGATAAAAACCTCAAATGTGAAAACAGAATCATTTAATGGGCTTCAGGTATTCAGACCAACTTTAACAATGATCATTACAGAGCTCATCTATCTTCCTCCTGACTCAATTCCCTCATCTCTTAAATTATTTTGAAGCAAATCCCATCCCAGACAACACAGGTTGACTTCAGTCTGAATCTCTAAAAGACAAGAAGTCCTTTTCTGTCAAGTTACCTAAAATGGACATATTATTGGTATTATGCTAAGTGAAATAAGTTATAGAGAGAAAGACAAATGCCATATGATCTCACTTACAAATGGAATGTTAAAAAAACCAAAAGGAACAAATACAAAAAGCAGAAACAGACCCATAAATACAGAGAACAAATGGATGGGGGGGGTACCAGAGGAGAATAGAATGCGGGATGGGCAAAATGGGCGAAAGGGAGTAGGAGATACAGGCTTCCAGTTATGGAATGAAGAAGTTATGGAATTAAGAAGTCATGGGAATAAAGAGACTGTAGGGAATATAGTCGATGCCTACTGTAAGAGCACCGTATGGTGACAGATGGCGGCTATGCTTGTGGTGAGGAAAACATAATGTGTAGAGTTGTGGTGGAATCGCTATGCCATATACCCGAAACTGATGTAACATGTATGTCAACTGTACTTCGATAAAAGAAAAGGTACATATTATTAGTGAAGCTGGGGTCACAAAACTTACCTTGATTTAGCTTTTTGAGGGATTGGACGTTCGGCATCTTTTGCAAAGTTTTCAATTTCTTCCTTAAAGATTGTTTTATTGTAATTTTCTCTCTGTGTTTGAGGCCATGTCGTTTGAATTTTGCTAAAAAGATACCAGTTTATGGGGCGCCTGGGTGGCACAGTCGGTTAAGCGTCCGACTTCAACCAGGTCACGATCTCGCGGTCCACGAGTTCGAGCCCCGCGTCGGGCTCTGGGCTGATGGCTCAGAGCCTGGAGCCTGTTTCCGATTCTGTGTCTCCCTTTCTCTCTGCCCCTCCCCCGTTCATGCTCTGTCTCTCTCTGTCCCAAAAATAAATAAACGTTCAAAAAAAATTTAAAAAAAAAGATAACAGTTTCATGAAATCTCCTAAATTATTTTCGTGAAATTGCATCTAGCAAGAGACAAAAAAGTAGAATGTATCAAGTTAACGCCGGAGGAGCAGACTGATGATGCAGGAGAGAGGGGATGGATCCAGGGAACAAGTGTGTTTGTGTGGTGGGGGGAGGCTGGCCATCCACTGTGAAAGTGGGGAGATGGGGTTCACGGATTCAGATAGATGTAAATGTGTTGATTCGGTGCTTCCACTGTGAGTGAGTGTGGGGACCTGAGTCACCACTATCTGAGGTTGGACGAGAGAGAAACTGTGAGTCAGCCCAAAGAGGGAAAAAGTGAATTGTCTAAGAAAATGTAGGATATCCTGGAGGCCTGAGAGACCATATGAGATGCCTGGGTTATACATTTAAAGTAGGACTAGATCGGCATGATTGCGTGTTTCTCTCCAACCACAATCCTCTGCTCCATGTTGGCATGAAAGGGAGGAAGAAAGTTGAGTTTAACCAAAGTTGTTTTTTCTTTTTTAATTTTTAATTTTATTTATTTTTCAACATAATACTTAATTTTATTTTTTTTAATTTACATCCAAATTAGTTAGCATATAGTGCAACAGTGATTTCAGGAGTAGATCCAAAGTTGTTTTTAAATTTTTTTTTTTTCAACGTTTATTTATTTTTGGGACAGAGAGAGACAGAGCGTGAACGGGGGAGGGGCAGAGAGAGAGGGAGACACAGAATCGGAAACAGGCTCCAGGCTCCGAGCCATCAGCCCAGAGCCTGACGCGGGGCTCAAACTCACGGACCGCGAGATCGTGACCTGGCTGAAGTCGGACGCTTAACCGACTGCGCCACCCAGGCGCCCCTCAAAGTTGTTTTTAATGCTGAATTTAATGAAGAAAGCGAGGTAAGTTCAGGGTAGTTGTGAGCATACACAGGAGAGTAATTTTAGTGATTGGGAAAGTAAAAACAAGGTGAGAGTGACAATGACCCAACCATTTGAGGTGTGGGAAAAATAAAATAGCCATGCCTTAAAAGGATTACAGAAGCGATGATGTGTTCAGGGAACAACCAAAGGATTTGGCCGATGATGGGCTGTAAGTCCTAGACTGATGATAGGCAGAGCAGAAGGACCAGGAAGGGCACAGAAGGGTGTGGGGGAGATAGTTGCATTAAATATATCAGGATAAGATTACAAGAGAGGAATGATGCCCTAGGATATTACTTCTTGTGACCGTTAGTTACTGCCTATGAATCTTATAACTCTTTACTTCTGGGCTTTTCTCCACCCAGAAAAGTGGATTTGCTATTTAAAAGCTCCCCCCATCCCCAGGAGGATTTTCTTTCCTTTAGGTTTCAAAGCGGTCTTTCTTTGTCTCTCCTGTCTATAACGCAAAAGCAGTCCACCTCTGGTTGGTTCTAAGAAACCTTGCAGAGAACATTGTAGGCCAGGCTTGAATTTTTCTTCAATAGTCAACTGGTCAAAAGGAATGCCCCAAGACAAAAAGCTGTGGGTTAAAAAGGAGTTTCTAGGGGTGCCTGGCTGGCTCAGTTGGTACAGCATGTAACTCTTGATCTCTGGGTCATGAGTTTGATCCCCATGTTGGATGTAGAGATTACTTAAAAAAATAAAGCATTTTAAAAAAAGGAGGGTTAATATGCATCAAGAGTAGACATGCTGGGAGTGTGACCAACCTGCTCAGGCAGCTTGCTAATACCTTCAGGACCTACAATTAACAATGTAGTACTAACACTGGGCACACCCACCTTAATGACTTGCTGGATCATATAACTCAGGTCATGATAAGCAGCTCACATCCCAAGGGTACCTAATATCAAATGGTATCTTCCAGGGGCCTGTAACAACTATTTCTCAAAGAGAGTTAGTTGATGAGGAGAGGATGCTCCGTTTCAAATTCAAAGACACCACCCATGGGCTAGTGCTGTCAAGGACGACCACAGGATCCATGCGGACTGATGCAGACCACTGCATCCGTTGGAGTATATGGACCAAATCACAGGGCTATTTGCTCATTAGCCTGGACAGGCTGGAAAGGCTCTTTCATTCCTGGATCCACTCAAATTTGGCATCCTTCTCGTATAATTTGGCAAACTCGGGGTCACACATCCGAATATTTTGCCTCAGAAATCCAAAGCAGCCTAGCAAACATCGTGTATCTTTCTTAGTAGTAGAGAGACAAGGTGTGGCAATTTCCTCTCTGCTTTGAAACGTGGGCCACTGGCTTGCCAGAAAATCCAACCACCCACAAACTCATGGCCAACCAATCTTTGACAAAGAGGAAAGAATACCCAAAGGAATAAAGACAGTCTCTTCAGCAAGTGGTGCTGGGAAAACTGGACAGCGACATGCAGAAGAATGAACCTGGACCACTTTCTTACACCACACGCAAAAATAAACTCAAAATGGATAAAAGACCTAAACGTAAGACAAGAAGTCATCAAAATCCTAGAGGAGAAAACAGGCAACAACCTCTTTGACCTCAGCTGCATCAGCTTCTTACATGACATGTCTCCAGAGGCAAGGGAAACAAAAGTAAAAATGAACTTTTTATCAAGATAAAAAGCGTCTGGGGGCGCCTGGGTGGCTCAGTCGGTTGGGCGTCCGACTTCAGCTCAGGTCACGATCTCGCGGTCCATGAGTTCGAGCCCCGCGTCAGGCTCTGGGCTGATGGCTCAGAGCCTGGAGCCTGCTTCCGATTCTGTGTCTCCCTCTCTCTCTGCCCCTCCCCCGTTCATGCTGTGTCTCTCTCTGTCTCAAAAATAAATGAACGTTAAAAAAAAAAATTAAAAAAAAAAAAGATAAAAAGCGCCTGCACACCAAAGGAAACAATCAACAAAACGAAAGGCAACCAATCAAATGGGAAAAGATATTTGCAAATGACATATCAGACAAAGGGTTAGCATTCAAAATCTATGAAGAACTTATCAAACTCAACACCAGAAAAGCAAATAACCCAGTGAAGAAATGGGCAAAAGACAAGAATAGACACTTTCCCAAAGAAGACATGCAGATTGCCAACCGACACATGAAAAAATGCTCCACGTCACTCATCATCAGGGAAATACAAATCAAAACCATAGTGAGATGCCACCTCACATCTGTCAGAATGGCTCAAAAGAAAAACTCAGGAAACAACAGATGTTGGTGAGGATGTGGAGAAATATGAAAACTTTTGCCCTGCTGGTGGGAATGCAAACTGGTACAGCCACTCTCAAAAACAGTACGGAGGTTGCTAAAAAAAAAATAAAAAATACAGCTACCCTACGACCCAGCAATTGCATTACTATGTATTTATCCAAAGGATACAAAAATACAGATTTGAAGGGGCACATGCACCTCAATGCTTATAGAAGCACTATCAACAATAGCCAAAGTATGGAAAAAGCCCAAATGAGGAATGGATAAAGAAGATGTCCACACACACACACACATATTACTTGGCAATCAAAAAGAATGAAATCTTGCCATTTGCCACAGTGTGGGTGGAACTAAGGTATGTTATGCTAAGTGAAATAAGTCAGTCGGAGAAAGACAAATATATGATTTCACTCATATGTGAAATTTAAAAAACAAAACAGATGAACATAGGAGAAGGGAAGACAAGGGAAGACAGATCAAGTTTGCAGCAGACATATCCACAGAAACTTGGCAGACCCGAAAGGAGTATTCAATGTGTTGAATCAGAAAAATACGCAGCCAAGAATTCTTGATACAGCAAAGCTGTCATTCAAAATAGAAGGAGAGATGAAAATTTTCCCAAACAAAAATTAAAGGAATTCATGACCACTAAATCAGCCCTGCAAGAAATTTTTTTCAATACGAAATTTATTGTCAAATTGGTTTCCATACAACACCCAGTGCTCATCCCAACAGGTGCCCTCCTCAATACCCATCACCCACCCTCCCCTCCCTC